AATTGTTTTTACTCTTCATCATTCTGTTCAGTTTCACTACATGTTGTAGTAGCTTAGAGGTTCTAATGGTACTTAGATGATATTTGAATTAGGTGCAGTACTTGTGCCAGGGCCAGGGCCGAATAGTTAATGAAGGTTCGCAAATCAAGAAACGGGTTGTTTCAGCTGGTGTTTAATGATGATAATAACTGTGAACCTTGTGATATTTTGGCACAATAGTTATTAAGGCCTAGACAAGCTGGAGGCTTTGGTTGATCTTCGGGCATAGCCCTATGAGAGTCTATTGTTTCGTTGCCTTATGGATATTTGATTGATGTTCTGGTTGTATACTGAGTTCTGAAATAGTCTTTACTGCTTGCGTCGATCAATCATGTTCATAGTTGATTCTCTTTCTATCTTTTTTTTTTTCAAAAAAAAAAAATTTAAAGTATACAATGTATGCTACTGAGTGAGGACTTATTCAAGAAAGGCTGATTGATGTACCTCATTTTACCCTTTTATCAGTTTTCATTCCATCTAAGAAATTTTGCAAGGTGTCACTAACTTGGAATTATTATTCCTACCAACTTTTCATCTGTTACTTCTACATCTTTTCTCGACATCCCCTTTATTTAGAAGTTGTAATCCTTTAGCTTCCATGCACTGCACGATAAACCTAGAATCGGTTAAAAACTAACTTTTCTAATCCCTTCCCCTCTCCTGATCAGGTGGAGGCGAAGAAAGCTGTCCCGAGGGACGATCATCAAAACTTCAACAGAAACGGAAGCATCACGGGATCCCCTGGCCCGGCCCGCACAAAAAAAATCTTTGTCGGGGGCCTGGCATCCACTGTGACCGAGACCGACTTCAAGCGGTACTTTGACCAATTCGGGACGATCACGGACGTGGTGGTGATGTACGATCACAACACCCAACGGCCCAGAGGTTTTGGGTTCATCACTTACGACTCGGAGGAAGCTGTGGATAAGGTTCTGTTCAAAACCTTCCACGAACTCAATGGGAAGATGGTCGAGGTCAAGCGGGCCGTTCCAAAGGAGCTCTCCCCGGGGCCCGTACGGAGCCAGTCGAACAGGGTGAGCAGTTTTCTTGGTGCTTATTATTCTCCCATGAGGATGATGGAAGGACGATTTAGCCCGGTGACCCTGACCCGGAGCGGATACCCGACTTACAGCCCGTCTAGCTATAATAATAACAGCAGCGTGGGCCTAAATCTGGATTCGGGCTTCGGTCTGAATTACGGGCCAGGTCTGGATTCGGGCTTGGGCTACGGGCGCAGCATGAATTCTTCTTACTACAGTGGGAATGCGAATCGTCTTTGGCCAGTGGCGAATAATGCAAATCGGAGTCTATGGAACAGTAATAATGGTGGTCTTAATAATAGTTACAGTTCGAACAATGTGATTTCGAATGGTTTTGTCGGGTCAGGCGGCAACTTTGGGAATATTGGGGAAATTCGGGGTCAAAGCGGAAGAGGAAGTGGTATGTTTGGTGATGGGAATATTATTAGCTATGGCATTGGAGATGATGAGAGTTTCGGGAGGGCAAATGAGTACGGTAGAAAAAATGGAGGCACGACATCTTCATATTCATACGCTGTCGGCAAAAATATTCACGATGATGGTTCGGGGACTTTCTATGGGGGGGATTTGTTTTATGCGGATAATGGTTGGCGTTCGTCTTCTACCGAGCTTGAGGGCTCGTTTTCTTACGGGCGTGGTGCAAATGACGACATGGCCCCTAACAAATCTGTTGGTTATGTTGGAGGCTATAGTGTTAATGCTAGGACTAATAGAGGTGAGAATTCATAGTTCCTTCTTTATCTACTTCTCCCGATACCCTTCTTTAGTTCTCTTTGCTAAAAATTATCTTTCTGTTTCAACTTTTGCACCAGGAATTGCAGCCTAGAACATATTACTTTTATGGGATACGAAATACGATAAAAACGTAGTTGGCCATATACAAAGTGGAATCAAAATGGAGGGGACTGTAATCAAGAAAATGATCTTTGGTGGAGATAATTTAGCCTACAAGTACATGAGCAGGTGCAAAATGATTTTTGTGTTTTAAAGGTTTGAAACTTTGAGCTTTTTCTCTACATAGGCTTTGCTTTGTTTTTGAGATGTGCAAATTTGGGTTGCAAGATAATACCAAGTATGATATTACCATTCATCTTTTTGTGAGGGACCCTTTTTTCTTTTTATTTAAACTTCCTTTCGTGTTTTCTCTTGCTGCGAGTGCAGTGTAATCACCTAACAATGTCTTTTAACTCTCGGCGAAGGCATGCCACTATTATTTACTACGATGAATAATCTTTCTCGTCTCGTGTTTTCTTTTGTCTTTTCCGGTGCGACTCCCTACTGAGATTGTTATCGTGTGTTGCTTTTTTTTAAGCTGCATTGTGCTTTGTTTGTTCTGCATCTTGTAGATGCCTTTCTTCATTCACAAATTTTTTACTTGTGATGAATGTTGAAATTGTTATGCACTTCGTTTATCTTGATGTTTGAGGAAAATTTGATGACTACAATATAAATGTCGATATTGAGTGTCGTCGTTTTACGTAGGCCATCCCTATCCTTGCCGCTGCATGAGTGGTAGCTCACGCTCGAAACTCCTCCGACACGAGCCCTAGTCGTGCTGCTGCAGCCCGTTTCCCGGCTTCACTTGCGCGAGCACCCATTTCTTGAAAAACTTGATACAATAGTCACTCACTCGGTTATGACAAGGAAACTTGTGGTCCCATTTTAGCCTCCTTTTTTTTTTT